TACTGCGAGTATGATATACCTTTGGTATTTGGTTATATTCAAAATACCGTTTTTTAACTACGGGTATATTTATATTATTTTTTATTGTAGGCTTACTATGAATTTTATGATTAAAAATATTTTCGATAGAAAATAATGGCTTAATGCATCTGTATATTGTACCCACTAGTAGAATAGTGAGAGATTTAAGTAAATATGACAATTTATACGTGTTAGAGCTACGCTGCAGTTTTAGTAGTATAGTTGTAGTACGAATGGGTCGGTAAAAGCCAATCTTTTCTATGCTAGTGATATATCTCCGATGGATTCTTGTGATGTGATAATAAGAGGATAGAAAAAAGATGATGAAATGCCTCAAACAGGGAAGGATCGTGTTCTCGTAGAATACCAACGTAAAATAGTAGCTTAATTCTGCTGTGCTTCGTATGTTGAGTGTAGAGAACCGGAGACCCTTTTTACAGGAAACGAAACATTGCATCTTAGTCCTCACGGGTGAACACGCATCTGTATTTTGAATCGTAATCGAGGATAGATATAGATGTATATGGGCCACAGTAACCACTTACCATCAGGTGGACTGTGTGCTCGTTAGTCACCCTGTCCTATAAAAAATTAAGTAATTCTTGCCTACCCTCTCCAAATATTCTCGAAGAACAGTGAGTGGTTCGCTATACTATGCCTCTACTCAAGATTGACATGATTGGTTTTAACCAAATTAAGATTACTAACACGCCTCTCAACATGCTTATCTGGGGAGTTTAAAGCTGCTAGATAATATTTTGAAGCACCAATCCACATATGGTAGCAATATTTAACACTCGACTAGATGTGTACCTTATTTAAGGTTTGATGCTTTCGCGCCATGAAACACCGTCAAACCTTTGCAAGAATACTTTATTTTCTTGCAGCTGTATTGCTTGCTCTTAGTTTTCAGGGTCCGTACCCGAAGGGTAACCAACGGGACGCTATTACTATAGTTCGGCCGTTCAGAGAATGCGTTCCTGACACCTATCAGTTAGTCACGACTAGTGATGGGCACAATATAACACTGAGTTCGTTACCGTTCCTCTAAAATGAACCGCCGCGTTATTTTTAAGATTATTTTCGTTTTAAATTGGCGGAATCATTTAAAATTTATATTTTCGTAATTTAAGTGGAAAAAAAAGGTAATATTAATATAATAAAATTGTTTTATTTATTATTTGTTACAAAGTTACAATCTGTATTTCTATGCAATAAAGTACATTGAATTGAATGTGCGCACAGAATATTAATCAGACTCCGATTCTCTTGAGGAGGTGGTGTCTTCATCATCATCTTCGCCTACATGTATATAAGCCTCGTATATTATAAGCCTCTGCTGTCCATCCGTTTGTCCGTTCGTCCGTCTATATCTTAGCCGGCTGTATCTCGTGATCCGTAGTAGGTAGACAGTTAAAATTTTCACAGAATGTGTATTTCTGTTGCCGCTATAACGACAAATAATAAAAAAAAAAATAAATTAAAAAATTAAAGAGGGCTCTCCTACTAGAAATGTGTTTTACGATGGTACGGAACCTTGCATGTGCGATTTGACTCGCACTTGGCCGGTTATCAAATTATGACGCGAAGAAATCTCTAACACTAACAACTTAAGCCTGTCGGTCAAGTAAGTGTAATCGGTGCCAAATGGTAGCAGAGAATTCGTCACTCCATACCGTCCCGTGGGTGTCGTAAGAGATTTTAAAAGATCTCATGGTCTCTCATGGTCAAATCAATGTATCAAATGCTTAAATAAATCGCTGTATTGAAGACGGAGCATATACTAAGAATCTTGGTTAGTCATATTTAAATTCTTTAAGTAAGTTAGAAGTTCCCGTGACAAGAACAAAGTTACGCAGCTGGTATTCTTGGCTGCTGCGATAAACATGTGTGATTTTTGTTGTATATATTATATTATATCTTGTAGGTAGTAGAACAAATAAAAATAATTAACGTTACCCAAAAACCCCTGAAAATATAGTTCTCCTTCTCGTTTATATATTTTTTTAAGTGACAACTTCTTTAAAACCATGTTACATAAAAACAGTATCAAAGTTTATAGCACTATGATAACTCGTTATCATTTTACACGCACGTCTAAGATGACGTATCGAGAATTCAAAATGTTATGACATTGGAATCTGAACGCACCCTAAATAACGCAAACACCATAAAATAACCATTTCTGACGTATTCTGACATGTTATATAGCACCGTAAAAGGTACATCCGATGTAGTTGATGTACGGGTTAAATAGCCATCTAAATGTGTATTAAAATCTCACCGATACAAACTAGTCGAGTGGAAACCGTAAAAAATCAACCTGTGTTGTAGAGTCAAGAAGATAAAGACAGACATAAAAAACGTTTAAACTGAAGGTACCATTTTTTTATTAGGCTACAATTTAAAAGTAAGAAAATATTTACCTAGATAATATAATTATATAATTTAAAACAAATTTGAAAAAACAATTCATATCAATTCAGAAATTTACATCTTGTACTCCTACCATGTATTGTAAATAATTATTAGTAATTTAATAAATCGTTTAATTTTTATAAATGTATGATTTAACCGGTCAATAATTGGCACTGATTTGTTTAAAAAATGTAGGAACCTAATATGTTTAACATTATATTATCATCATAGCGGATATTATAATTACAACTTTCAAGTTATTAATTAAAAGTACCGGATATTATTGAGCTGTTGTATTTTTAAAAACGCATTTTAAATAACTGTCAATTCCTTTCATTTCCTAAGTCTGTGTGCCCCACTAAACACCGCAAATCTTGCACCCAGGTAGCACCGGGGATAAGCATGTGAAAATTGTTGTTCAATACGAAAGAACCCATAAATAAGACATTAGCAGCTCGTATTCTTGCTCTATTTAATTGCTTGCACACCATTGTCGACTCTTATTTATGCTACAAGGAAAACATTATATGGTGTTATAACGCGCTTTAAAATATCTGGTTTTAATGTAAGCAGTCAAACTAGCAGTAGCATTATAAAAATATTACTGATCATAGTACATAGTGTTTTGTTCTAAATTCAAAATATGACAATGTAAGCTTATAACCTGAAAAGTCATGTTATTAATTCATGTGCTGTGGCTTAATGAAAAGTAGTAAGCATAGGTTGGAAATTTTTACGACTAGAGATAAACTTCATGACGTTATAAGCGATGTATAAAATTAAATTATTCAAGAAATGCAGCAATATTATTCTCAAACAAACGATCAATCATAATAAAAAAATGAAATCGCTTCAAAATGTCACAGATAAAACATGTAATTACTGCTAAAACACGTGTATTTTCATTTGTATCGGTAGTAACATCACCGTAACGGAGGGTCCAAAGCGCCGGTCAAGTGTCAAAAAGGCGCGTGGAGTAGTCGAGATGGAGACTGATAAGTGCACCCCACCTGTGACGTAACATCGTCCTTTCGTAGAAAGAAGTAGGCGTTATGATATTTGATTAATAACTAACACATGATCAAATAAAAATAGATGTATAGTTCTAATTAACCTTATATTTCTTATCGTTATATTTTTGTCAATGTTTTTTATGGCCTTATGTATAACGTGAGTTTCATTTCTGAATATCTGCTACAAAAACGTATACATCACATTGTATTATGGTTAGCATCACGAAATTACTTAGTTGGGGGCTCAAAGATAGATTTAGATGTCTATGGACCACAGCAAGGGTGAAATATGTGTTTGTTTCTCGGTCTTATCATATATAAAAAATCACACTGCATAAACACATTTATTGTGTACATTTAAAAAAATGAAAACTAAATATGTTAATATTGCAATATAAAAAAGTTCGTTAGCATTAGGGATTTGTTTAATAGCGTTGGGTAACAAACGAGCACACAGTCTACCTGATAGTAAGTGGATGCTGTGGCCCATAGACATTCACATTTATTCTCAATTAAGAACAAAAATTCAGATATGTTGTCACCTTTAAAGACTAACATGGAATTCCTCGATTCCAATAAAAAGAGTCTCCGGTTCTCTACACTCACCATACGAAACTCAGCAGCATTGCGCTGTTATTTTCCGCAGGTATTCTGTGAGAGTGTGGTTCTGCTCCGGTCGAGCCGACCCATTCGTGCTACAACTATAATATAGCTGCAACTTTACCACGTAAACACGAATAAAAAAACACGTGAGTTTAGGGTGTATTGAAAATTAAAATCTATTAAGATTGGAGTCATGTTTTTCACGTGCTATACACGTGAAATCGATATATCGAGCGCGCGCAAACAGTGGGCCACGGACTTCCGGCAAACGGCGCTTCGTCGGACCGTCCCTTCAAGTACTTACCCGTGTCAATCTCCGACATTTTGCACGCTCTAACTAGTCCTATGGTATCTTCGCTGTATGAAGATTCCTTTATGACATTACAATATAATATTAAAGAAAAATAAAGAAAACTTATAACAAACAGCTATATTGATTTATCAAGTGTTCGGTCGGAAACGAAAATAGTTGAGATAATTACTTAGATGTTTTAAAATAAAATGTTTCTTAAACTTATGAAGTCTGACAGTTCATACTGTAATGTTACTAAGATTATTTCTTAATAAGTCACTTGCGCATACCGTCACCATTACACGTCATCAAAATCCACTGCTGAAAAGGCCTCCCCATAGATATTTATAGATAGATATTTGTTTTGACTTATATATATATATATAATATATATATATATATATATATATATAGTAATAAATGTGTATATATATATATATATATATAGTATAATATATAGATATTTGCTATAGTTGATACGCACGGCAGCCGGTTAGCAAACGCAGTTATTTATATTCTAGTCGTTATTAGGAAAACGCTGCTGCCCATCCCACCCCAGGTATGTTTCCCTCTGTTGCCTCTTACGACACCCGTGGGATGATATGGGTAATAATAATAATAATAATCGGGCTGTCGTGAGGGCTCTGAACCCAATGCTGGTGACCTATTTGGAAGCCAGCAGGGACCTTTGCGATACGGACTCAATTCTTTTTGGCGCCGCGCTGGCAGTCTGCCGTATCATAGGCGCCAAGGTTGCCACGGCTGGACGCGCTACTGGCCAAAGTAGCGTTATCCCAGCATGGAGAAAAAGAATTGAGGAGCGTATCGCAAAGGCTAGAGCTCTCATCGGCAGACTGATATGCTTCAGATCAGGCAATAACAGGTCAAGAATTGTGCGTACGGTCAGGATGGCATATACTGGGACAAATGTCAGTTTGTCCAAGCCGGATATTATGCAAAAACTGACGGAGCGCACAGATGATCTGAAGCAGAGAATCGCTGCTTGGGGAAAGCGGATTCGGCAATATACCGAGGGGTCGACTCGGTTCAACCAGAATCGTCTCTTCCAGAGTGATAAGATGAGGCTCTATGAATCATTGAAGCGACCAATTGCAAGTGGAACGGGCCCAGCACCGAATCAGGCCGACACAGTAAAATTCTGGCGCGGCCTGTGGTCAGAGTCCGTAAACCACAGCGAGGGCTCTTGGACGAAAGTTGTAGCGAATCAGTGTGCGAGCATAACGCCTATGGACCCCGTCATTATAACGCCGGATGACGTAGCTGAGGCGGTCCGTTCGGTCCCGAACTGGAAAAGTCCGGGACCCGACAGGCTGCATCACTACTGGCTGAAGGGGTTTGTCGTGTGTCACACTGTGCTCGCCCGACAGTTCCAAGTGGCTCTCAACCAGAAGTCGCTCCCAAGCCTCTTCACTACTGGGATCACTCTGTGGCCGTGAAAGGAAAAGGAGAGATCTCCTGCCGGCCAAGTTTTTATGCCCGGGGAGCAGCCAACACTCCATGTGATAGTTCGGAGATGTTCTATATATGCTGTTTATGATTCGGAATGTTGATAGCGTGATTTAGGCTTCGGTGTGTTTTCGCTTGCGGCGTGACGACAGCGCCGCCACATCACCCCCCTGCTCAGACCGGAGGTCGATAGTGCAGTCCGATTGCCGGTGTGTCCTTTTAATGCCGGTGGGGAATGCATGCTGTGTGCGTAAGGGCAAGTGACACCGGTGCGAATGATATGCCGATGTGTAATGCATGCCGTACTACGCACTGGCAAGTGATGCCGGTGAGAACGATGTGCCGAAGCAAGTGCCAGAAGTCTGCCTTATAAATCTGCGGTGAGTCGAGATGAAGACAAGTTGGACTGGCTTGCAGGAACTGAAGACTGCAGAAGACGATTCTCAGTAGTGAATGGTAGGGGTTCTTGAGGATAATGACGAAGGCTTGAAATTGTAGTTTCCGAAGGTGTTTGGTTGCGTGTTCAGATCATGTCGGGGTCACCACTGTGGCCGTGGTAGGAAGGAAAAGGGGAGATCTCCCGCCGGGCAAGGTGTTCTGCCCGGGGGAGCGGCCGACACTCCATGTGATAGTTAGGAGATGTTCTATATATGCTGTTTATGATTCGGAATGTTGATAGCGTGATTTAGGCTTCGGTGTGTTTTCGCTTGCGGCGCGACTACAGCGCCGCCACAACTCATTTGGTTCCTAAAGACCAGGATACCACAGACCCGAGCAAATACCGCCCCATCACGTGTCTACCGACCTCGTCTCGTGAGAATCACTCGTCACCTAGACTCAAATCAGTTGCTGTCGCACGCTCAAAATGGATGTCGGGGCGGTGGTCGTGGAACCAAGGTACCACTTCTCATTGACGCGGTCATTGGCAAGGTGGTGAAACGCAACCGTCGGAACTTCTCCGCCGCCTGGATGTGCTGTGCCCCATACATGGCTAAAGAGAGTCCTCGAGCTGTACAAGATAGACTATACAGTTAAAGACTTCCTCGAGCAGTGTATGGGGCAGTGGAGTACGATCCTTTGTCATCTGGGCGAGCGGATGATGGCTGCGGAATGCCACATAAGGATAAGAAGGGGTATCTTCCAGGGCGATTGTCTGAGTCCAATCTGATTTTGCCTCTCTCTGAACCCTCTCAGTACTTTACTAGAGGGCTCCGAGAGGGGTTTTCAGCTTCGGAAAGGAGGTACAAAAGTGACCCATCTTTTTATATGGATGACCTCAAGTTATTCGCCTCCAATCGCTCCCATCTTGTGGAAATGCTAAACATCACTTGTGAATTTAGCAATTCTATTAGAATGGAGCTGGGGACGGATAAGTGTGCGGTCCTCCATGTTGAAAGTGGAAAGGTTGCTAACTCTGAGGGCATAGACTTATCTATGCCCGTCAACTTAAGGACCCTTTCCGAGGCTGAAACATACCGATATTTGGGTATGTCACAGGACATCGGTATCGATGAGGCTGGTATGAAACAGTCAGTTTGCAGACATGTTTTATGCACGCTTGACCAAAGTGCTTAACAGCCTTTTGTACGGTGTGAATAAGACACACGTCATAACGGCTGGTCATGCCTGTTCTCATGTATACCTTTGGCATACTCAGGTGGACTCAGGCTGAACTTAACGCCCTGGATAGAAAAGTCCGCACTAAAATGTCGTCCCATAGGATGCATCATCCGAGATCGTCGGTAAGGCCGAGGCTGTACTTGCCACGAAAGCATGGTGGGCGTGGCTTTCTGAGCACGCTCACCATGCATAATCGCGAAGTGTGCAGCCTCCGTGAATACTTCCTGGCGAGATCGGATGATCCATTCTATAATGACGTCATTTCTAGTGATAAAGGACTTACCCCTCTATCCTTAGCCAACGAGCAATGGCAGGACCCAGCAGTGCTTAGCATTTCCAACCGGGAGACCTTATGGAAGGAGAAGGAGCTCTACGGGAGGTACTACAGGGCTCTGGCTCATGAGAGCCCTTCGTAGATACAGTCGCCTCCCTCAACTGGCTAAATTTCGGTGACCTCTTCGGGGAAACCGAGGGTTTTGTCTTTGCAATACAGGACCAGGTTATTAAGATCAACAACTATCGGAGATACATCCTAAAGGATGGCACCATCGACCTTTGTCGAGCTTGTGGCCATCCCGGTGAGTTACTTAGGCATGTCATCTCCGGTTGTTCGGCGCTTTCTAACTCTGAGTACTTGCACAGGCACAACCTAGTAGCCAGAATTCTACACCAGGAGCTCGCTCTGAAATACGATCTCGTGGACCGGAAAGTGCCGTATTACAAGTACTTGCCGGAAGCCGTGCTCGAAAATGACCGCGCCAGGCTCTACTGGGACCGAGCCATCATCACAGACAGGACTATTCTTGCGAATAAGCCTGATATTGTGCTGATTGACCGGGCACAGTCAAGGATATTTTTAGTCGACATTACCATTCCGTAAGACGAGAACCTCGTGAAAGCCGAAACAGATAAGCAATCAAAATATCTGGAACTGGCTCACGAGGTGACCGACATGTGGAGTGGTATGCCGACCGAAATTATTCCTGTAGTCGTGTCTGTAAACTGGTTAATCCCAGTCAGCCTCTCGGGTCATCTGAGGCGACTGGGACTCCGTGACGGACCGCTCCGGGCTCAAATGCAAAAGGCGGTGCTCCTCGATACCGCCCGCATCGTCCGCCGGTTTCTTACCCTTTCCCACTAACCCTCGGCCGTTTGGTCTCCCCTGCCGAGGGCTTCCATCTGGTTGGGCTTTTATTTATTTATGTATTATTTATTTATTTATGTTAGTATATTAAATATATATTTAAGTATATTTATTTTTCCTTTTATATATTTATCCAGCCCAACCTTACTCATCAATCCATTAATAATAAAATAATTCTTTATAAAACTTAAAGTAAAGAACATAATTGTAATTTTTGTAAATTTTGATTAATAAAGAATAATTAAGATTGGGATCTCCATTTAAGCAAGTAATGCCTGTGTTTGGAAACCCCGCTCTCAAAAATTACAAAAGTGTATATGTGCGTGGGCGTGTGCGTGCGTGCGTGCGTGCGTGCGTGCGTGTGTGTGTGTGTGTGTGTGTGCGCGCGCGTGTGTGTGTGTATGAAGAATTATTTTATTATATTATATTGTACATAAAAGTGAATTATGAAATGCGGTACAGCAGCAATTCGATTTGTTCATAAGTTTTCGACTGCACCCACTTTAGTATTAGGTTTTACACTCCCTGTACGTTTTGTCGTATATGTTCAATTCTCTATTTATTTTATTATATAGGAATGCAGAATATGAGCTAAATTGCCTACTAGTAAAAACTGTTTTGGTAATGAATATTCTTACACCGCCGCTACACGGTGATACTATACGGTCTCACTAGTATTTAATTATATTATGTTTCATATCAAAGCAAAATATTAAGACTAAGAAATATATTAGCCTTATATTTTTGGACAAAATTATATTTAAAATTATGTTTTAATGAACTTAGCTGGATTAACTAGCATATCACAAGTGTTTTAAATAGATATCGATCGTGTATTAACATATTATATCGAGGTGTATACTGCACTATAGATTTCCTGTCCGCCGACGCTGACGGCGAGCGTAATCGCTTAAGGAATGTTTGTACTAGGCGATACAGGTATATTAAAAAGCGAAGCTAATTACAGTTCGCCATATTATTTATTTTTTATAAAAGTACCCTTCAGAAAATTCAATTAATTATTTCCAAAAGATAAATTAAAATAAAGTAGAGCGAAAATTAATTTTTTGATGAAAAAAGCTATTGTCAAAACTTCTAGGTCGTAGTGTTGTAATCAAGTTAACTTTTCAGCAATCAGTTACTTATTTTAACATATTTTTTAATAATGCTGTGACCTTAAAGACAATTATTAATATATCGTGATTAAAACTACTTTTACGGATTTTACCGCGTTTATTTTACTTTTATTTTAAATACTCGACGTTTCGGGCGCTTTCCAGCACCCATGTACCCCGTGACCATGGATGCTGTAAAGCGCCCGAAACGTCGGGTATTAAAAAAAGTAAAATAAACGCGATAAAATCCTTAAAAGTAGTTTCAATCGATGTGAAGTGTTCGCGTAAATATAAGAAATCATAATATATCGTGAATTATGAATCGAAATGCAGATGCGTTGTCACCCCTGAGGACTAAGATGGAACACCTCGTTTCCAGTAAAAAGAGTCTCCGGTTCTCTACACTCACTATAAGAAACAGCAACATTAAGCTGCTATTTTACGTTGATATTCTGTGCAAGCGTGGTCCTTCCCCGGTCTAGCCAACCCATTTGTGCTACTAATATAGCTGTAGTATAGCTTTACCGCGTAAAAAATGAAACTCAAGTATTTTAAAGTCAATTAACAGTTACGTGAAAACCTACACTATTGAGCTAGGTAATGAATGGCATGGGCTCCGGCGATGGTCTCCGACGCATCCGGCCGGTCGTCCCACGTCTGTCAAGGCTTTTACTGTATTAAAACAATATTAAAATAATAACTATGTGTGAAAGACCGTTACAGGCCTAGTCGATGTATGTATATTGGGTCCAAGCGGCTTCATGAAAAATAATTTTAATCTATGCTGGTACTTAAAAATGCATTAATATTTATTAAATTTTTGATAAGTTTTAAATCTGTAATATGACACTAATAGGCTAATGGTGTTTTTTATTTTTTTTTATCTACGTTTTTATAAATAATTATGTACTAATTTTCTATAGTTAATTGAAAAGAGATTAATAGTAGAACTAGTAGTATAAGTAGAAGTATGATTTGCTAGAAATATTTTGCCCTGTTAAGCACACACAGCATTTGGATCGATCTAGATTCTGTGATGTTAGTGCTGTTAGCCTTTTGGCTTTTACAGCTTGATTTCAATTCTTTATTTAAGTCATTTTGCGATAAATTT